CGTGGAAAAGCTATATTGCAGCAAGTTAATCATTTCTCAAGCAAGGTGATTCTTGAGGAAGAAATGAAATGAAATGCAAAAACACAGAGTTAGCATTGCCTTTCCCATTTTGAATTTACAGTTGATTTACTAACTAACTGAATGTTTCACTGTATCACATAGCTTGATATTTATACATATTGGGCAAAAGTGCCTCAATGTGCTGTACTTTGCTATTCCAATAATTCAATCCTGAAAAATTAACTAATTTTACAAAATGCATGTTGTATTGATTGTAGTTAAACACTTCAAAGACATTTGATGTGTATTGATTGTTTTCCATTTGCCTTCATGCCACTTTAATGGTTGTTGGAAATGTAGTCTGGAACAGTCCTATCTCCTGACACACCCAGATCTGTTTGGTGTAATCACCTACTCTCAGAATGGTGAAGATGAAGCCGTGGATATCCAGAGAATCTAACTTTAGATATGACCATGTGCGTTCCTAGTTGATACATAATTGTAAGGGGATTTATTTCCCAGTTTGTTCAATCATCTAGACCCAGAATGTGCTATGTAATGATATCACGGTTGGCCTCAATCTGCTGATATTGGTCTTATGAGTGATGTTTATTGACACAACAATCAGACCATATGTGCTTCATGCAGTCTAAACAAAACCCTGTGTACAAATGTACTGGCTAGATTTGATTTTAAAATTAGAAACAACGAAATACAAAGATAGGAACATGTAAGACAACAATAGAAAGTTAAGATGTCAAAAGCAATGATAGAATCAGAAGAAATTTTTAGCTATGCTTATCCATGGGCAGCAGGGTAAACATCTCATACCGGTGACAATATGTAGGACAATGTAAAAACACATACACACAGATGCACATACACACCCCCCCGCACACACAGACGCATACACACCCACCTGCCACACACACACACACACGCACACATACACACACACACTCATGTTATGTAAGGCAATGTATTATTTCCTCTTGTGTCATTTGAATCACTTTGAATCATGTGACCTTGCTTTTATTTTTCTCTGTTAACGGAAGTAAACTGGCTGTGGTAAAATCCTGTGTTCTGGTCTGGTCTTATAGTAACAGACTGGAACATTGAAGAAGAACTCAGTACCCTGATTGAGGAATTGAATAATGAACATGAGGATTAGAAGGCGGGATTGGAAGGTACTGGCAAGCCGCACATTTTTGCTAAAAGCCTGTAAAGTAATTTTAAGCCGGGTTGGAACTGTCAGGGAACGTGCCCCTTTGTTTCTGTAACTATAAATATGCCTTCTCCACTCAAACATTGGAGATTAGAGATAACATTCCAGACAGCCGCCTGTGTTTCTTCAAGCATAACCTTGAAAAGAAAGACCAGGGAAAGTACATCTGGTAAAGACTTCTAACAGGACAATGATGTTATTTAGCAGTCCAGTGATAATACCATGAGGCCATCACCTCACCTCCTGTTACAAGGGATAAGATAAGCATTGGAAGGTCTGCTAAGAAATCCTTTTGGAGGCAAGTTCACATCGTCAGTTGCATCTTCAATGCCCTTCTCTTCACGATAAAATCAGAGGTGGGGATGCCTGCTGAAGATTGTACATTGTTCAAGAACCATTCACTACTCATCAGATACTGAAGCAGTCATATCCATAGGCAGGAAGACCTCAACAGCAATTAAGCTTGACCTAATGTATGGCAAGTAACGTTCATACCACACAAGTCCCAGACAACGATCATCTGAAATAAGAGAGAACCTGGTCATCATCCCTTGATGTTCAATGTCATTATAATCACTGAATCCTCCACTATCAACATCCCGGGTCTTGAGTTACCATTGACCAAAAACTTATTATAATTATTGTGGCTGCACGAACAGGTCAAAGACTGCGTTAAAATTTAATTCTAAATTCTAAGAAGAGGAAACATCCTCTTCACATCTGCTCCACCAAGAAACATCACAGAATTCTGCTAATACACATGTTTCAATTAAGTCAGCTCTTACTCTTTTAAAATCCAGCAGACATAAGCCAGCCTGACCTATCTTTTATCATAAGATAATCTACCCATTCCAGGAATTAATCTTGTGAAGCTTCTCTGAATTGCTTCTAATTGATTTATATGCTTCCTTAAATGAATTGACCAGTACTGTAGACAGTATCCCAGGTGTTGTCTCATCAATGCCCTGTATATTCATAACCTCCCTATGTATATACTCAATTCCTTTAACAATAGATGATATACTCTACAGGTTTCCTAATTACTTGCTGCACCTGCATAATAGGCTTCTGTGCTTTATGAAGTATGATACCCAAATCTCTCTGCATGTCAGAGCTCTGTAATCTCACTATTTAGATAATATGTCTTTTTATTCTTCCTGCCAAAACAGACATTTTCACATTTGCCAACATCATACTCCATTTGTCACATCTTTGCACACTTACTCAACTTATTTTTGAAGCTTTCTTATGGCCTCTTTACAGCTTAATTTCCAACCTATTTTTGTGGCAGCAACAACTCTGATCCTTCATCTTAGCCATTTTTATAAATTATAAACAGTTGAGGTCCTGGCACTGATCCCCTTGTGCACACCTCTTGTTACACACTGCCAACTTGAAAAAAAGGTCCATTTATGCCTACCCTCTGTTTCTTGTTAGGCACCCAATCTTCAATACATACCAATATGGTACCCTGTACACCGTCAGTTTTTAATTTCCACATAACTGTTGATGCGCCACCTTATGAAATGTCTTCTGGTAATCTAAGTACAGTACATCCACCGGTTCTCCTTTATCCACAGCACATGTTACTTGTCAAAGATGTTCAGCAGTTTTGTTAAACATGATTTTCCTTTTACAAGACCAAGTTGACTTGTGCTGTTTCTTGAACTTATCTCAGTGTCCTACTATAACTTCTTTAAGAATACTTTCTAATATTCTGTCAAATGTTAGGTAGTCTGGTCTGTAGCTTCTTCCTTTCTGTCTCCCTCCATTTTTGAAAATAGGAGTTCCATTTGTGGTCTTCCAATATAGCGTGTTGGAAACTTAAAGTTAATGCATCACTCATCTCACCAACCTACGGTGAATTCCATCAGAACTTGAGTGCTAGTATGTTCATAGCTCCAACAATTTACTTAGTACTACTTTTCTGGTGACCAAATTTCCATAGTTCGCTTTAATTTCCTGATTTCCTGCTTCTGTGATGTTACTTACATCTTCTACAGTGAACACTGAAACAAAATATCAATTGAATTCATGTGCCATCCCTCAATTTACTATTATCAATTCTCTAGACTCACTTTCTACAAGATCAATGCTCACTTTGTTCACATTCTTTTAAATATTTATCGATAGTCTTGCTATCTGTTTTTATATTTCTGGCTAGCTTATTCACATACTCTAACTTTTCCATCCTTATTAATTCTTTTAGTAAGTCCTTGTTTTTTAAAACATTCTTCCCAATCTTTTGACCTGACATCTGTATTTGCACAGTTAAATGCTTTTGATTTTGATATGAATTTTAGTCATTCTAGTTAAATATGCATTGTAGGTCCTGTCTTTTGAAAATTTTCTTGCTCATTGTTATCATTTTGTAATTGGATCTTTTAAAAATAGCCAAATGGTTTCTTTCTGTACTGTAGTATTTTCTAAATTAATGAAACAGATACATCCTTTGTAATGCTTCAAGTATGTATTTCATTTGCAGTTTTAAGAAAAAGATCATTTGTAATTCAAAACTGCTTCCAGTCATTTCATGCAATATTGAGCAGCCTACTTTGTTATAATCAGGGTTGGTTGGGTAAAGAATGATAATTAGACCAAGCAGCTTCAGTGGATGGTGAGAAAAAGTAAGGAAGAAATCCATAAAACCTATTACTTAAATCACAGCACACTCGAGCAGTTGCAAAACATTTACTTTACATATAGTCCAAACCATTTGTTTTATTAAGTAAATCTCTCCGCTAATGAGAAGATAATATGCCCGAGCTTGACTGGGTTTCATAGGCGAACCTTTAGAAAAATGAGCGAGAAGCAAAGTGGTCAACACCAGAAAAGCTCTGGGACTGGACATGTTGGAGAGAACCTCTGAGCTAAGGTAAAGTGTGAAGTATATGAACCGAGATGTATTGAGATCTTGCCATTCATCTAAACTTTTCTTTGATCATCTCTTATGTAGTAATGTAAAGAATAAAGCTTTTGATACTATATGCCCTAACATCACATTCAATGCAAACTCAGGACTGACTCTAGCTATGGATTCATTTGCCTTCCATCTTTTATATTCAGAAGTTATGATAACAAAATTTCTGTTCCTCTTTCGTGAAGCTAGAGTCCTGATTGACAGTGAGATGTCTTTGCATTTTCATTAAATTGGTTCATCTAACTATCAGTGTCATAGACACAATTTGTGTGGAATTTTCACATTCAGCACCATAGAATGGAAAACGCGGCAGGGAGTATAATGAGCAGAAGATCTGATATCTACCTTAAACTTGTTTTTTGTACCATCTTGAACATATCCCTGAAGCTATTCCCTCAGTTATTCTGTCTCCATCCCACACAATATCTTAGAAAGGTTCATGGGAATCCAAATACAGCAATGAATTCATGTGTAAAAATCGAAAGAACTGTAGATGCTGTAAATCAGAAACCAAAGTAGAAATTCCTGCAAAAACTCAGCAGGTCTGGCAGCATCCATGGAGATAAATCAGAGTTAAGTTTTCGGGTCAGAACCCTTTCGTGAATGAATACATGTGTATTTATTTGCTGACACATATTACAAAAAAAGTCTCTGACAATCCAAACACAAGTCAACTGAAAGAAACAGTGGTCAGTTCATGAATATTTACTCTGCTGACATTAGTGTCAGAAAAACAAAACCATGACCGTCAAAAGCAATCTAGAAATCCCTCATTTACCTGAAAGATCTGACAGCTAAGCGATAGCCTCCCCAGTCAGTGTATCTCCTGCATTCACTGGGTCCCATGAAGTACTGTCACCCTCTGTAGTTGGGATGTTCATAGAAGATCCAGCAACCATCCATCACATGGCAGGAGTGGATGTCACAGTAACGGAAATGATCGTAGACATCCACGACTTCCTTCATCTGCCCTCCAAAATCAGGCCTCTTGTAAATCCTCATTCTGAGGGACCTCCTCAGTACTGCAATAGAAATAAGATGATATCAGTGAGAGAAGTGTCAATTATACATTTAAAACGTAAAAAAAATGAGCTAGCTCATTCAAATGGAACATCCTGAATGATTGTCTCATTAACATTGAGAGTAAAGTTGAGAAAATTTAATAACAGGATGTATGGATCATATTCTCATCCAATTATAATTGTTCAACTTTGTGTAACTTTATATAAATTGAAAAGGGAATATTGGTCACACCAAATGTAAGGTCCATACACACAGGAGGTTTCTTCATATTTATAAATGTCTGATGTGCTTTTTCCTTCAGTTTAATATTTTCTCATGTTTCCGGGTGATTGATGTGGGAATGAGAATTCATATTCTGTGACTACTTTAGGGCTGTTTGTGAAATGAGTGCATCATGAGTTCCAAAAGCTCACTGCTGAGCATTCATACATTGTGCAAGTGGACCCAAGGTAAGGATATCTTCACAGGTAATGGGGTGATGGAATTCGGTGCAACTCACTCAATGTGACTGAGATAGTTTGGATTTATAAACTTGATTGCCTGTGTTTATGCGGAATGGGAAGAGTTTCTGAGGGCAATATAATGAAAGCAGTGCAGCAGTGGGGATTCCTGTTGGGCTATGCAGTTATTGGGATGTTACTTCTGTGTGCTTCTGGTGTAATGTGAATCATGGCTGACATTCTCTGAGCTGCACTCACACTGGAAATGTGAAACAAAATATTTCAATAACAAACTTGATTTTACATTGTAATAAAACAAGTTCTAACATGAAAGTAATCTGGAAAGTAACATTAATATCTTGCATCAGAAGGATTTATCTGTCAACTTCTTATCCTTAACCTACACTCTAGACCTTCGATCCATGGGCTTCTTTTAAGAGAAAAGATATATTTAACATGAATGTTTACTCCCGCTGCAGTTCTGTAGCATATTTAAGTTAACAGATCTGCTTACAGATAGAGTAAAATAGTAGAAATACCAAAAATAGAAAGTGTATTATTCATGCATTTAAGGGAAAGCTCAGTAACTGCATGAGGGTTATAGGAATGAAAGGATACATTCATTGAGCCAATTGTGGATAAGTGTAACTGGAAAAAATTGTTGAACTGAATGGTCCATTTCTGTGCTATGAAATCTCCGTAAATAATTTATCTAATTATAGTAAATAAAAACCAAAAGAACTGCAGATGCTGTAAATCAAGACCAAAAATAAAGTTGCTGGAAAAGCTCAGCAGGTCTGGCAACATCTGTGGAGGAGAAAACAGAGTTAATGTTTCGGGTCCGGTGACCCTTCGTCAGA